ATAACAACATTATGGGTTCTAGAAACTCTCTAAATGGAGATTCTGGTTTTAAGATATTTTGAGCAGAATGCATTGCATAAAATGTATACCCACTGCCTCACAATTGCAAATAGAGGAATTCCATGTCACAGCTCTAGAAACTAATTGCACTCTGAAATAAAAGATACTATGATACTGTAACACTTTAGAGGGCTCTTCTTTCACTAAGCATTTTTTGAATTTCAGGGTATGGCTGAAGGAAGTCAGACAGCAGAGAGCACGTACTGAGTCAGGATCTTCTAGATCTGGAAAGTAAGAAGACAGGGCCATGTTAAAATGAGACTTTCATCTGTGCATGGGGCCATCTGAGACAAAGACAGCTAGCATCCAGAGCACACAACTTATTCTTATGCTTTGTGTGTTTGGAAAGAGAAATCGCAGCTGGAAACATGGCTAAATATTACTTCTCAGCAACAGTATGACCATGGAAAGAACTGATGGGAATGAAAATCATCAATAGGAAATCTGCAAGCAAAGTAGATCCCAAAAGAGAATTTAAATTCTTACAATTAGTATTTGGTGAAGTCCGAGTACTAGTAGATTTGTTTTAAAAGGAAAAACAATTTCATAGGATCATGTCATGTTGAAGCATAGACTTTAAAGATATATTTACTCATTTCTTCCTCCCTTCTTTTTCCTTCCTTCCTGAATCCTTCAACAGTGACTATTTGAAATCATGCTAAATGGCCTTTATAGACCATTTTATAAATAAGTAACTTTTCTCTATAGTCTCCTTTGTGGCTATTCTCTGCAACATCCTTTGCATTCTAATCTGTTTAACTAAATTCCAAAGAATTCCCCACTGATCAGTAAAGCTTCTTCCTAAAAGCAGGCTAATGCTGATTAGCTTCAGCTTCTATTGGACTCCATATGAGAGACTCCTTACAGAAAGAGACAAAGGGTGAATCCAATTTTCTTTAGCTTTCAGGTCTGACAGCCCCAGGGGTTCAAACAAGGCCTTGGTGACTTGCTGTAACACAGGTATTTTTGTCTGGGACACTTGAAGGACTGGAAAGTGATGGTGCTTCTTTCACTCTCAGTCAAGTACAGTATTCTGGTCCTGGCAGCTGGGGAGCAGCAGGTGCGTGCTAAGGAATAGCTGGCCATTGGTCCTGGCCAGCGAAGGAGCTTCTTCACAACAGTGGAAGGTTTCACTATCACTTAGCTTATCCAAGAGCATCTATTTTTATTTCCTCTTCGTGCCCTGGTAGTAGAGCTCAAACTTATTTTGGGTTTGCTGATGACCATACAGTCAAGAGGATATCAGTGCAGGGAAGCCAAGAAGCTACCATCTGTAATGTGTTTATATCTCAAGATTATTTAAAAAGGTTGGTTACTCATTTAGCTGTGCCTCTTGACCTTCTAATGTTACACTAAGAAAGGTGGCAAACACTTTCTTGAAAGTCACTTCACTTTTAATAACCCATATAATTCCCTCAACATATGATAGGGGTCAAAGAATGGACCAGATTGCACTATTAAGTGTTGATCCCACAGTGCTTTACATGTGGTAGACACACTGGATGGTCATTCATGGTCAACAGAAAGTAGCTGTCATCAGTGGTGTGCTGATAAATAATTAACAACCAGTTCTCCAGGGGGGAAAATACCTGATCTGTAGTATTTGCTCTTTCCATAGTGGAATATTAAGAACAACTTGACAAATTCAAAAACTTAGATGAAATGGAGAAATTTCCTAAAATGCAAAAATGACTAAAAATAACTCAAGAAAAAAATAGGAAACCTAGAAACTGTATCTAGTAAAGAAGTTGAATTCACAATTAAATATTACAAGAAAACCTACAAGTCTAGATGGCTCCACTGGAGAAGTATACCAAATAGGTAAGGAAGGAATAATACCAATCTTGAGAAAAGACAACTAACTGTAGATCAATATACTTTATGAATAAAGGTGGAAAAAAATCCCAACAAAATATCAGCAAGTTGCATCCAGTAATATATAAAAATTAAATTGCATAACAACCAAGAATTAAAAGTTGGTTTAATATTAGAAATCAACTAATATAATTCATCATATTAACAGAATAAAAGAGGAAAATGACATGATTACCTCAAAATATGCAGCAAAGCTATCTAAAAAAAATCAGCACTCATTATATACATAAATTAATAAATGAGATATTTGTCAACTTAATAAAAGGCATGTAAGAAAAACCTGCAACTAAGATCAAACTTAAATGTTGAAAGACTTAACATGTTTCCTAAGACAGGGAGAAAAGCAAGTATGCTCACTCTTAATTGATTCTAATGAACATTGTGCTAAAGATCCTAGGTTGTGCAATAAGAAAAGAAAAAACAATAAAAGGCATGCAACTTATAAAGGAAGAAGAAAAAACATCCTTATTTGCAGATCATGTACATATAAAAATCTAAAATACTTTATAAAATAACTAGTCAAACTACTAAGTGAATTTAACAGATATAGGATACAATGTCAACATATAAAAATCATTTGTATTTTTATATACTAGCAACAAAGAATGTAAAAGAAATTTAACACTATCTACAATAGCATAAAAAATCAAATGCTTAGTGATAGATTTAACAAAGTATGTGCAAGGTTTATGTACTGAAAACTACAAACATTGGGAAATTAAATATCTAAATAAATGGAGATATAAATTATGCTCATGGGTTAGAAGACTTAATAGTGTTAAGACGTCATTTCTCCCCCAATTGAATATATTGATTCGATAGTTATAATTGGAATTCTAGCAGGATATTTTTATAGCAACTAATAAGCTGAGATTCTAAAACTTAATAGGAAATGCAAAGGACTTAAAATAACCAAAACAATTTTTGGAAGAACAGAGTGGGATCATGTGTTAAGCAGAATCCTAAAATGGTCCCAGGGTTCCACTCCCCTCCCATCCCTGCTATACAGTCCAGTATAATTCCCTCCCTTCGAGTGCCTGTGAATAGGCTGGGATGTCACTCTTATGATTGGGTTACATTATATGACAAAGGTTAAGGGATTTTCACCTGTGGCTCCATCTAGGATTGAAATGGTGTCATGCCCGTGTGGACACCAGACCAAATGTAGAACTCTGGTTCTCACCCTACAGAAACAAATGCCTCTTAACCATCTCTCAGGTCAAGGGACACACATTCCACGGTCAACGCTCTGGGTCAGACCCAGGATGGTGGCCCACACAGGCCCCAAGGCATACTTTGTCGCTTTGGGAATTCCAAGGTCATGGTTTCCTGGGATGTAGTCTAGAAGAGAGGGGTGCAGGCTCTGGATAAACCAGCCCTGGGATGGCCTCAGTCCATGGTGAGGGAGGGGGATCAGGGTGGCTCAGGAGGGTCTTCCAAAGCAGACCGTCTGGCACGGTTATGTGCATATGAATGACCTCAGGCTCTCATTAAATGCAGGATTAGAACATAACAAGCTCTCAAGCGCTACTGACCCATGGGGCCCCACATTGTTAGCAAGGCTGTAAAACTTGGGGCCCAGATCTGAAGGCAGGTAACACTGCCAGCTACTCCATTTGAAGTCGGTAGTGGAATGAATGAATGAAAATTGTGGCTACTTCAAAAATTATTTACTGTTGTACTTAGAAAGATCCAAATGATAGTTAACCTTAAACTAATAACAGATTTTTTTTCTTTTTTCATCTTGTACACTTATCAACTGAGTGAAAATAGTTGACCCAAAAGGAGGATAAATAACTGGGGACCCCAATTATATTCAAACTATGTGTATAATCTACATTTGCATATTATAATTATCATTCAGTGTATTTTGTAAAAGTATAAATGTTCATAACATCCTAGATTTTAAGGGTGATTTTGTTTTTCAAGCAAGATAACCCAAGTCTTAGTGCACATACTTGTAATAGAACTCTGGGACCTGTCTGATTGCTATTCTCTGAGTTATAACCACCAGGGGTTTTATAAAAAGTGGCATCAAAATATTGATTATTTTTATTAATAAAATGTGGGGCCATGGATGACTGATAGGAAATGAGATTTAAATGGTTTCTGTTGAATATTAATGCTGCATTTTATCCTTCTCTAGTTAATTTATTATTTGAGACATAACTCTGAGACTTTGATTCCTCCCTCTGGGGTGGATCCCCTTTTTCATGCTACATTTATTGACTGTTTACAAAAGCATTCACTTTTTCTTTTAAATTTTATGCTGAATGTTACGACCATGGGCCATTCATTTCTTTATTGTATTGTGCACTCATTCTCTCATCATTAGTTTGGAGAAAAATGATAATAAATTGAGTACTCTATTCTCTTTTGATGACTGTGGTGCTGATGGGTCAGAATCAGCCTCTGGAACCCAGATGAACTCACAAGTAATTCCAAGAGAATTAGGAATTTTCCTTTGCCCTCCATGCACAATACTTCCCAGAGCAGCTAACGCCCCTGCTTAGGCTGTATACGTTAATACATTTGCTTGCAATGTGACTTTGGGACATTTTATAGCAGCGATTCCAGTGCTGTTCGTGGTGAACTAGAAACTTGAGAATGCGAAGATTAATTTAAACCACATGATGGGTTCAAGGAAAAGGGACATCCACTACAGATTCTTGAATGTTTGCTAACTCTGTACTATGGGGAATGGGATCCAAAACCACCAGTGAACTTTTAAACCCTCTTGAGAGGAATCAAACCAACCCAATTAGCCCTGGGAGAGAGCTGTTGCAGACAACAAACAGACCATTTCTCCCCCTCACAAACAGATCCCGTCGCCTGAGAGAACACGATTGAGAGATCAGGCAGAGGACGGCCCAGCCATTACCACTAATGGCATGAAGTTAGAACTCTCTCTCTGCTCATTAGCTGGTTTAGTGATTTGTAATAATAATAATGATAATAAAATAGATAACAAATTCTGTGGGGTTCTTTGAACAATAGATAATTAACAAATTGTATGTTGTGGATAGTTGGCAAATTTGAAATAAAGGATTTCTTTTCCCCTCCAGTTTGTCGTAGTGGTGTTCTGGATCATTTATGCCTACGACCGAGAGATGATTTACCCGAAGTTGCTCGATAATTTTATCCCAGGGTGGCTGAACCACGGAATGGTGAGTTGACTAAAACGGATTGCCTTAACTTTTTAAAAAATCTATTAAGTTCTAACTTAGTCTTTCCATAGACTGTCTCTAACTAGCTGTGAAATGTTTGAAGGTAATAATGCAGTTATGACCAAAGAAGAATACTGAGCATAAATAAAAAACTTTGTTCCCATGAAATTGAGTCTCTCTTATAAGTATGGAGTAGATGAATCCACGGTTCATAAGCAGTGTCGGTGGTGGTAGATGATACAACTAGCTCGTTCCGGGATGAATTTGTGCCATTGAAAGGCTTGTCCACTCTTGGATCCTGAGGACCGATTCCCGCCTGCACGACCACTGACACCTGCCCCTCCTCCACTCACATCAGTGGGATTGTGTTGGAAGTAACTGCAGATTGTACTTGGAGAATTTCCCCCAGAGGAGCAGAGGGCTGCTGTGTTTCCTGGGAGAGGGGCATTGCAGGGGTCCTCAGGAGGGGCTGCCTTGGCAGGGGCTGCCCATCCAAGGGTGTTTGCCTGCGGCTGCTCGGTCTTTTCCTTCTTCTCAGTCTAATTCTTTGTGATGTGTTAGCCGTTGCGTTACCTTCCCAAGTTACAAGTCAAATACTTTGGCAATTGTACTTTATATGATTTGAAGGCATATTTTCTGCAGAGAAATTGTATCATCTTCCCTGTCTGCTTCTGGAATTGAGCACAATTTTGGTATTAACTAAGAAGCCTGTATTTTTTGGTTGAAGCAATTTGTAGACTGTCACTGGGTGCTCCTGGTGAGAAGGGCAACCCATCACGGAAAGTATAGGGGAGCGAAGAGCTAGAAATAGTGTCTTAGGTCCAAAATAATAGTTTGCCTTTCCCCCCAATTTTGGTATATTTTAAGAAAAGTGGTTCATATAGACAAATAAATATGACTATACTGAAGAGCTTTGATCAATTCGTTTGTAAGCCTCTTTGCCAAAAGTGGCACAGCTCAGAGAACTGGAAGTTTCTTTGAGTCCAATATAGCTACGCTGTTGAAGGATGGACTTGACACCTCTGCTCTAGTTCCCAACAAGTCAGTGGGGTCTTACTGGCTCAGTTTAGCCGTCTAAGAGGCCTGAGCTGGTAACTCTGCCTCTCTTTAACTTTTTACTTTTCTCGATTGTGAAAGCCCTGTCATGACTCCATCCAGGTCTTTGCAACCCTTTGCCCCACATGCCCGTTCCATTCTTTGCTGGGAAACGCCTGCTCATCCTGCTAGCTTAGATGACATTTCTAAGTGTCTTGCCTCACTCTCCCCAGCCAAGTTAGCTCTTCTGTGATGTGTGCTTGTGCAGCACTTCCATCTCTTGGGTATACACACTGGCATCTGCCACGGAGAGGTGACACTCCCAGTGCAAAACAGCAGCCTCCAAATCCCAAGCACTCTGCCCAGCTGCCTGGCTTATTGTGGGACCATACGTGTTTGGTAGATTGATGAACGAATTCAGTATTGCCAATTCCCATCATTCAATACTAACAGCTATTATTTCTGAGCACCTACAGTGTGCCAGGCATTCTGTAGTGGTTACATCATTTAATTTTCACATGGGTCCTATGAATGAGGAGGTATCATCCCTTTTACAGATGAAGACACTTGAGCTCAGAAAGTTTCTGTTACCGGAAGGGCCTTAGCTCAGAACAGTCAGTGCATCATGTGCTATAGAAGTACAGTCCTTGACTATGGCTCCCTCAACTGCACAAGTTACCTTCAGGCCAGAGAATGAATCACCACCTTTGCAGATCCTGGCACTGTTTAATGTTTCCAACAAACGGTTTACTGAGCACGTATGCAGCCATTAGAACTTCAACCTGAGTCTCATCGTTTTCCCTTGATTCATGTGAATGGGTTAAAATTCTCGCTCTGGGAGGCAAACATTACTTAGAAATGCAAGGAGGATTTCAGTGTCACAAATATTTAGGAAAGGGAAAAGATAAATTTATTAATTTTTTTAAAAATCCTCACCTGAGGACATTTTTACATTCATCTTCAGATAGAGCGAGTGGGAGGGAGAAAGAGAGAAACATTTATGCGAGAGAGACAGATTGACTGGTTGCTACCCACACGACCCCAACGAAGGCTGGGGACAAACTACAACCGAAGTACATGCCCTCAGTGGGAACCAAACCTGGGTCTCTCTGGACTGCAGGCCGATGCTCTAACTGCTGAGCCAAACCGGCCACAGCAAGATAAATTTAACATATCAAATTTCCAGATGATATGAGCTCAGTAGATTCTTTCACAGTGAATTTTGTCTCTGAGTAGAGATAAATGACCATTTCTTTGCTTTTTTCATGTTTCCATTAAAATTTCTACATTTATTTTAATCTCATATTTTGATGAAAATATTTAAATTATATACACTTTGATTATAATTACATTTTATGTTTAATTGATGTTAAATTTAGCTTAGAATAATGTTATCAGCAGAGCTCAAATTTTGTGAAAATTTTCACAAATTTCATGAATTTATTGAAATGTCTTCATCCAATCACATATTTTTCTATTTTGTTTTATGAAAATATATCTAACAAGGGAGGATGATAGAATTTTTTAAAATACTTTACTACCTTAATTTGTAACACCTAGATATTTCTGCAGATGATTTCTGGCCCACTAGGCCTATTTTGCGGTTGCCTGTTTAGATTTTTATAACTAGGGAATTCTTAGAGAGAATACACCCTGTACTTATTATGTATAGATCACATTCATTGTTTGCAGAATCACCACATAATTTCTAGGGATCCAGAGCCCTGAACCACAGATCTCAGATGCAATTTATAAGTCCATCATGACACTATTTCAGAAGACATAGTAAGTCGTCTTGAATTTGCAGAATTGGAACTTCCCGGCACAAAATTAGTCAGAAAGGAGCATAAGGGAAAACTCAGACTCTGAAGTGCACAGGGTTTTCTTCTGACGTACATTAAGTTGCTAGAGGTAGACGTGATTATACCTAAAGGCAAGTATCCTATCACTTCCTTTCCACTCTCGGGCTTTTTTTTTTTTCTCAGCAAGTAATCCTAGAATGTATTTGCAGAAAAGAAGAGAAAATGGGTAAATAGATGAGTTAGAATAGTAATATTTCCTTGGTGTGTAACCACTAAGTTCTCTCCAAGCTCTGTGAACATAGCACCCAAAAGAAAGAATTTAAACTTATTACAATTAAAAGTATAAACATATAATTGTAACAAATTTAAATTGGAGTCAGTTCAGTACCCCAAATCAAAAAACTGTTTATCCTTGAATCTCTATTTATCTTTGTATTCTCAGCAATTCAAAAACACATGATGCCCATAAGGCAACCACTGAATGTTGAGGATAAAACAGGTTTTTGTGCATTTGCCTTGGAAACTTGGAAGAACGTCAGGTTTACATTTATATATTTCTACTGTCTTTTTAGCCTCAGTCCACGGATGACCAGACAAAAGAAAAACAGGTATTATTATATCAGCAGATGAATCAGTTTCTGAAATGTAATGGAAATGATCATGGACAGTTGTGTGAGGTTTCTGCCTATCTGCAACATCAGGAGCTGCACTTTGATTTAATTCAATCTAGCAAACATTTACTGAATACCTATGATATGCAAAGCACCCTGCTAGGCACTGGGTGGTTACAGGATGGGAAAAACTCTTTTAGTTTTAAAGGATGGAAATGGCATGTTTGAAGTGGAAGAAGGTAAGTAGGAAAACAATTCCACAAGTCAACCGAATACTTCTCAACAGGCTGTGCTCACTCTGACAAGGAGAAGCAGTATTGTTGTTCTGGCTCCTTGCTTGGTTGCAAAAATGGAACCCTGAACCTTTCTCTTCTGCTGATTATAGTTATGCAGCATTGCCAATGGAGTAAATATACATTAAAAGCAATAAATAAATAAATATTTAAACTCCAGTATGATTGCAGACTCTCCCTAGTGCTGTAACGGGGGGAAAAACCAACAATGAGACAGTGTCTCTGCTTACTGAAGACCTAATTAATGTTTATGGAGTGCTTTAGAATGCCAAGTACTGTGGAAGGTTAGGATATTATTATTACCACAGATCTTTAAGCAGACATGACCTAGATATTCTTACAATCACAGCAGGAGTTATTCATTCCCCATATAATTTATAGGGAGAGGGAGAAAAAATAAACCCACCTCTCTTCATGCTTGATTTGTCAGTTGTTCTTGTTGTATGTAACTGATCCTCAAGAGAACCTTAATTTAGGCAACTATTTATTCTGTTCAGTATTATTTTGACATTTGGTAATTACTAAAGTTTTTGTACATCTGTCTTTCCCAGAAGAAAAGGCATTAAATGCTGCTTGTGTGATCATTGGTGTTGCAGGAACTGAGCTTTGACATTATTCTTTTGGTAAATTTCCAGTTCTGGGATGCACAGATTATGCATTCAATACCCGTGGAGCTGTGCCACCCAGATAGCAGGTATTTTATCAAATAGGCTGTAGGTTGAAAGAAGACCATTGTAAACATTCTGCATGAAAAACTGACCTTTCTCAGTTTTCCTAATATATTCTAAAGTAGCTAGAAGATATCTGGAAATTTTTAAAAATAAAAATTCAGACTGGAACAGAGGTCAGAAATTTCTTGGGAATCTCTTTCTAAGACTCCCAGAGGAACTCCCAAAGAAAACAAATACGACCCTGAAGACCCAGGAACAAGGAGAGTAACTTCTACAGTGAGACGGATGCTTTCAGCCACAATGCACACTGTTCTCACATGTCAGCTTTTCTCATATTCAGTTGTACTGATCATAGCTTCTTCCATTGTGAATTTGTATTTGTGATCATTAGTTCTACCAAGTCCAACTCTACTGTCAGATTTTGCTGATCTAAATCTTGACATGAAGATTCAATTCCATTTAAATTAGTAATCAGCTTTAAGGTATTTAACTGTTGCTAATTTTATTTTTTTATTATTATTTCAACCAAAAATGTTGTAAACTGGAGACAATGTATTTTTTTTTTTATCTTCACCCGAGGACATTTTT